ACTTATTGTTCCCTAAAGTGGTTCTACAAACTATCAGATCCTGTGGTGTGCCTTGTTTGTCCTTCAATACATATTTTTCTTTATCTTGTTTAAATAAACAATAACACGGTGTAAAATCAGGCTGTATTGGCCTAAAATTCAGGTTGTATTGACCTAATTTTAAAACCTTAAAGCAGTGTAATTTTTCTCTTTTCTTTACCATGGTTGCATGTCTTGTCTCTTACCTCTCCAGGAAAGCCCTGTCCATTAAGAAGGTGCTCTGAACCTTGAGAGTCTTCACTCCCAAAGTGGACACGGACCTCTTCCAGACGGTAGCTGTATCCCAGTGGGCCCCCAGAGATGTTCACCAGGTGGGCTTTGTCTGGCCGCAGGGACACATGCTTCCCAGTGTTGTACATGGTGCCTCCCATCTACAGTGAAACAGTCAGAGGGGGATAATTAGATAATAAGATGATAGCTGTCATTTCACCAGTACATTTTTGTTAGATGGGAGCACACAACAGAGTAGAAACTGACTGAAAAATAATAAGTAGATCAACATAACGAGTCTTAAGCCCTAAATGGCACCATTCACAAAGCTAATGGATATAAATGGTTTGTTATTAACAAATCTTGAATTGCATTTGAGCTACTAGGATCCAGTCAGTGCTCTGAATTGTAATAAGGTGGTAGGTAGGATTTTTTGTACAGACACAGTACAGTAGAGGTGCTAGTTTTTATGGCTTGTTAATGAATATCATAAAAGTCTGTCAGGCTCTTTCCTGAAATCTCTGGTTTAATCTGTTTGACACATGTTTTTGTGTGTAACTTGACAGAAGCTGAGAAAATCAGCAAAGGGATGACATTACAAAATGCATTACACACGTAATTATTATGGAACCATGTATTAATGAATGCGTAAATCCACGACTGTATCAAACACAGTCATTTCTAAAATACATTAAGACTGCTGTAAAAATACATTATGGCAGTAATAAGTACCAGGGTTACCTGCATCCTCCTCCTGCTCCATCAATGATGGGCTTGGCATTTGCCCAGTCTCAAACTAATCTGTTATGAAAGCAAACAGATTGGCAGCACTCACTATTTGTGGTAATATTTATTGTTCAGGTATGACCCATATTTTGGGGTTGATTTAATTCTATTGTGTTTATATCCACTCGTGATTTTTCGGTCGTAATGTTAGAAAAGTGTCAAATGTTGTAAAAGCAAGACAATGCAACAACCTGCAACATGATTTGCTACTTTTTTACAACACAAAAATCAGCACTACTTAAAATTATAATGACAGCACTGGCAATAAACTGCAAAACATTATGGAGTTTTAATGTGGGTGTTGCTTTTATTATTACTTTCATGATTTATAGAGTATAACATATGCTACCTCTTAACTCTTTCAGTGAAACTGTTAATAAGCCACTTATGTATTTTTAACATGGATAATCCCATTGACCCCAGTACGTAATCCCCCACCACCTGTCATTTAAGGGTCAAGCTAACCCTGGAAAACAGCCGTCCCCTTCTACTTGCAACTTATTTGTTGTTAGCAGATATCAGGACAGCGATTGAGGTTTGGTTTTTTTTCACAAAGTAATAATAAGTCTTGAAATGTCAACAACACAACTGATCATAACCACCAGCAGAGGTCTGCTGCTCATTACTATACCAGACCTTTTATCACAGTTTGGCAGGCAGGGAGTGGATCCAAGTGACAGATGGTAACTCAAAAGGTTACTTTACTATAATATAGATATCTAAAATATAAAAGCTCAGAGACTACAGAAGAAACACAAAACACAAGGGGCACAGAAGGAAAGAGCATGAAAAACGACTTGAAAGAGGACAAGGGCACACAAAATAAATACATAGCAGGTAATGTGGGAAGATGGAAAACAAGTGGGAAAACACCGCGGGAGCAAATCAGAATTAACGAGACAAGTTAAACTGAACAAAAACCACATGAGACAACAGACTTATCTGTTAGTAAAACGTACAGGAAACATAACTAAAACCAAGACGGAGACTAAGACTGTTTAAACAAACATGGAGACATGACTGACTTCACAAAGGAGACGCTAAGGGACAAAACACAGAAAGGGGACAAAAAGAATAAATAACCTAATCACCAAGTCAAAAGTCATCTATAATTAACCTGGAGACACAAACTAAGCCACTTCTCAAAACCCAAAAACGTAACGAAACAACTACTGCTGTGAGAATATGATGAAGTGATGAAGTAGTCAGATACCCTAAAGACGCCATTGGCTATTATGATTGAAAAGTAAATCCTGTCTTGTATATTTAAAAGAAATTGACTTAATCTACAAAGGCAGATTAGCAAGTAGCAACTCCTGCTACAGTTATGGCACAAAGGCTCCTGTAATGCAGCACAAGAAATCACTACAAGAGTAGGTGGAGCAATTAATAGAAAACAAGGCAAACTAAAATCACTAAAAGCCTACAAAGTAAGTCATTTAAATAATGAATTATAACATTTAAATAAAATTAAAAAACTTAAATTAAATGGGATACACAGTCAATGACAATAACAACAATAAATGAATATTAATATGCAACTAATAATATGAAACTGATGTGTAATTTTCTTTGTGCTTGTGGTACATTTCTGTACATGTTTGTTAATATTTCTGTAGTTTTGTTGAAACCAGAGAAGAAAATCTTCCAAACCAAACTTTCTTCTTGCCTTCTGCCACTTCAGCCTCAAATCATTCTTTTACAAAAAGTGTCCAATGTCCAGAGATGCATATTTTTTCTGTCTGGTTAACAGTGCCTCAGTCACCAAACCTTTATATTTTGTGCGTGCTAGGTGCCCTTATCCCTTCCTCTGTGTATTAAGAATACAGCGAATATGTTTGTGTGGATTAAAACAGCTTTTCGTGTTGCTAAAACAGCCCCAGAGCTGTATGTTGTCAGCTCCTCACAACACCCCTGGCAACACGTAAAGTATTAATGCTCTTTACCCGACTCCCAACCATATTTATCATACATATTATATGACACTGCAGCAATCACATATTCATTACCGCTGTTTGTATATAATAAATGAGGAGAAAGCACTCAGCTTTAGTTTAATTGTGACACACCACTGCTGGGGTAGTATAAAATTAAACAATTACTCACCAGCCTGGAATCTATTCACAGCATTAATCCTTGAAGAAAAGCACAGAAGGGATTTAGAATCTAAAAATGGATGATTTTCACTCTTCTACGTCACTCGACAGGTTCAGGAAGCATAAAGATAAATGCATTTTCATTTACACATGTACCAGTATTGTGCTGGAAAATTTGCATAGTCTAATCTTAAATCTCCAATTTGAATTCAGCGAGCTACGTCGAAGAATGGCCTGTTTATAAGAAGGTGTGTGAGTTACATCAGCAGACTGTTGGCTACTGGCCCAAACATTTTCACAGTTCACCAGCATGTTGTCTTAATTGAACCACCCTCATCAGGTCATGCTACAGCTAGGCTGAAAATGATTTTCCAACCATTTTGTTGTTGGTTTACATGTGTGATTCTGGTCCTGTGGCATTAACCTTTCCAAAGCTCCAGGTCTTGGACTGCTGCCCAGACATTATTTTGTACAATGTCTTCATAAAGCTTTTAATTCCTTGTTTATTCCAGGAGTGTGACAGTGTCACTGTCAGTCACAAAGTGCATAGCTATGGCTGCAGCAAACTAGTTACTGAGGGGAAAGAGAGCAGCAGTAAAGTGGATAGTGGATCTGTAACAATAAAATTACTGGCAGGTGATTTTTTACCATGTTTTTTTTAGCTATGCTTAGCATGCATAGTGTGCTGCAAATTTACAACAAACCAATTTGAGATTCAGTTTTGGTGTACAGTACCTTTTCCTCCCCCTAACCACAGTGCTATATTCTTGCTAAATAACTTTACCCTTTGTCTAATCTGTCTAAACACCTTGTAGTAAGTGGGAAATGCTCCTTCAAGTAGTCTGCAGCATCTGCAGTGAGGTGGAAACTGTACCTCTCTACTGAGGCAAAGAGAGAACTGAGCGTAAAGGTGAGTAGCAACCCAAAGATCAAAGATACAAGGGGCAGAAATGAGCTTTCTCCAAACGGTGTCTGGGCTTAGCCTTATAGATAGTGTAAGGAGCTTAGTGATTCGGGAAAAGCTCAGAGTAGAGCAAATGGTCTTCCATGAAAGGAGCCTATTAAAGTGGTTCCGATATCTGTAATTCCTCGTGGGTGAATCCAAACTAAAAAGGGCATGCCTGACCCCCAGACAGATCAAGAACACACTAGAGACATTACATCTGTTTGGCTGGCTTGGGAACACCTTCATATCCCCAAGAAAGGATAGAGGAGTGCGATCTAACCATCTCTGCTTTGACTATGTTGCTGTGACCTATACAAGTGGTAGAACATGGATGGTTCAAAGTATCAAGATAAGACCAAGTTATCAACAAAAAATGCAGAAACTTTCAGACTTCACCAACTTTTTCTGTCTTTGTATGTTGGTGAAAAATCCTTAAGACACAGAGTGCTCTGATGTTACAGCAGAGAGGCTGTGTGTACAGACAGACAAGCTAAGATCTCAAGTCACTTCCACATCTTCTAACAAATCTGCATTAGACGATAGTGTTGTTGCACAGCAACTGGGACTTGCCAAATGCATGTAGGAGTTCCTTATACTGGATTGATGAAAACCAATCAAACATACTTCAAGTAATTCTGCACAAACAGGTTACCGCTGTTTGATGTGTGGTCTTAGAAAATCAAAACAGCATGAGGAAAATCTTCAAAGCCTTTTTGTGGTTTCCATCAAGCATACGATTGCATCAAATGTATATACAGGGAGAAGCGTTGGGGTTAAAGATGAAAATAACATGAAGTGACACAGAGATTTTAAAGGAGAACTTGTAGGAAATGGGAATATGAGCTGAAAGGGGGAGCATTTTTGGAAATAAAACTAATGGAACGAAGAGAAGAGAATGGAGATGGTTTGGTAAGCTGAAACAGAAAAAAGAGAGATGCGATGGTCGAATGGTTAAGGTACTGGACAGGAAATTTAATGAGGACCTCGGAGCACGCTCAATCCCCACTAACAATGAGATGAAAAGGAAAAAAATTAAAAGTTTTTGGTTCATTATCGGTAAATGTTCTGAGTGAAGTGGTATTCATGTGAAACATCAGAACTTTGGTTGAATTAAACAGATATATAAAGTTGGAGCCTGATCTTGCAAAGAAAAGCGTCTGGACTTCTTTAAGTTACTTGAAGACGTTTCACCTCTCATCCGAGAAGCTTGTTCAGTTCTAAGGTCAAATGGTGGGGAGTCCCAGATTTAAACCTAGTGGGAATATCTCCCCAAAGAGGGACAAAAGGACCCCCTGATGATCCTCTAATTGCCTGAGCCAAGGTGTGAAATTGG